ATCTTTTGTAACAAGATGATGACGCATTTGCTGCCGTCTGTTGTCGTATTTGTTTTTTTTTACACAAACGTTCCGGATCATGCTGTCCTCAGCGTTCATTCTTTGGGTTTTGGGCAAAATGTGCATTTGTTAATCTTTCGTCTGTTCTGCCAGTTGAGTTTTGAAGAAGAATTTAATTGGTCTTACCGAAAACTGAAAGTGACCTCACCTTTTCGTCTCCACGACGCTACCAACGCCCAGTTTCCAACCCTCAAGTTCACCCTTGCTCATCTTGTCGAGTAACCGGGCCCTCATGGAGGTACCAGTTTTAGGCGCCACTTTTATTCGGTTGAAAGTTCATGTCAAAAAGATATTCGCCTAAACCGATTTCTTGTAACAAGATGATGACGCTTTTGCTGCCGTATTTTTTTTTTACACAAACGTTCCGGATCATGCTGTCCTGAGCGCTCATTCTTTGGGTTTTGGGCAAAATGTACATTTGCTAATCTTTCGTCTGTTCTGCCAGTTGGGTTTTGAAGAAGAAGTTAATTGGTCTTACCGAAAACGGAAAGTGACCTCCTCACCTTCTCGTCTCCACGACGCTACCAGCGCCCAGTTTCCAACCGTCAAGGTAGCCGGGCGCTGGTGGAGGTAACAGTTTGAGGCGCCATTTTCATTCGGTTGTAAGTTCATGTCAAAAATATATTCGCTTAAACCGATATTTTGTAACAAGATGATGACGCGTTTGCTGCCGTCTGTTGTCGCATTTGTTTTTTTTACACAAAAGTTTCGGATCATGCTGTCCTCAGCGTTCACTTTTTGAGTTTTGGGCAAAATGTGCATTTGCTAATCTTTCGCTGTTCTGCCAGTTGAGTTGTGAAGAAGAAGTCAATTGGTCTTAGCGCAAGCTGAACGTGTGAGGACTGTTGCATTTTGCCGTTTGCTCACTTTTCCTCTTCGAAGTGGCAGGAGGTCTTTTTCACACAATCCCACTCCATTCACCATTTCGGTTCCGGGGGAGGCCAGTTTATGAGTCTTTTTAAGCCAACTTTTCCTTCCAACTCAAAAGTCAGGCCACACTAAAGCAGTTAGAAATTCATCAAAACCCAGTTTCTCGTCATGTTTTCTGCCAGTTGACAGACATTATCAAAACGGCTGACTCTTTCTTGTGCCAGTCTTGATAAAAGACCGAATCAAGAAAGCTAAAACCGGCAAATCATTGCTTTCTGAACATATTCTTAAAACACCTGAACTGTCAGCAACTATAGAAATAAATAAATCTATATTTATGCTTGTGTCTGTATATATGTGTGTATGTATGTGCCGGTATGGATAAGAAAAGCAGAATCATCTGACCTAAGATCATTAATTCTTTCTGACCTTAAGCAATACTGGATATTCTTTCGGCTGAGTTTAACAATTTTCTGAATGTGATCTTCATACAGACCGAACTAGAGATTATTTTTCTTTTACGGCGACTTCTCGGTTGTCATCCTCAGAGCTTTAGAAATAGGAAGTCAAAAAAATGGATCAAAATATTCCCACTTTGTGAATTTATTTTCAGAGGTATTGAGTAATTTGACTAGATAATGTCAAATTTCAATCTAAAATCATTTAAACTAGTGCTTCCATGCTAAGCGCAAATTCAGGGAGACCACAGACTTGATTGGCAAACTTTCATTTCAATTTTTTATCTTATGCCAATTTAGATTGAGGGATTCAATTATCTATCAAAGTTTTGCCATTTTATTATCAATTCACTTAGACCAATTACCGTGTCAATTATAATAAGACTTAAAGTTCGCATCACCATAAGCTACTTACAAATTCCCCCAGCACCCAATCTTTCCTTGCTCGTCTAAAGTGCTCAGAGACACATGGAGCGCTATCGGAATCCAAATATTAAAAAAATCTTAATTATCGTATTTACTCAACTGAATGACTATTGTGGTCCTATCAACATTCACACCAAGTTCACACTAATAGATTCATAACTGTGACTAGATGTTAATCCACTATTATGCAATATGAGTGATAATTGGCAAAATAGCAAAAAAAGGTAATCACTCTTCGTTGCGACTGAAGTATTTATGTATATATAGATATATATGCACGCAAATACATGTATAATAAAATAGCTACAATATGTTCATGTATATTATTTTAAATGTTTATCTATGATTGTAAGCAAAATAACTTACATATATACGCATAGATACATGCATACAGTCGTTTTACTTACATTCATAGATAAACATTTTCAAAAATATATATGAATATATTGTAGATATTTTATTATACATGCATGTAAGTATTTATACATTTATATATATATATACATATATATATATATATATATATGAATGTTTGCATGCGTTATGTATGAATATTTGTATATATTTGCATATATATATATATATGAATGTTTGTATGCGTTATATATGAATATTTTTATATATTTGCATATATATATATATATATCAATATATATATAAATAATTAGCCCTGGATACTGCTGCATGGAACTAAACATTTAGGTGGGATCAGAATATAGTGTCGACCACTTCCAGCGCATACAAAAATATGAGTTGTGTTCACTCTATTTAGTTTAAGCTGATGAAGGCCTGGTAGTTGATTTTTCCACAGTAAAGCTGCCGTTTTCCCAAAAAGTTTTCTCATCCGGGCAGAAATGGATAGCAGTTTCGACGTCGCATCGGTCTTCTCAACACCACAAGCGGGAGTCGAACCATGACTGTGCTGCATGTAAACGAAATAGGGTGTACACAACTCATATATATGATTAACTAGTCGTTTCGAAAACCCATTAATTAGAAAACAAAAATAATTCTCTAAATTCCTATAACTTATTGATGATAAACCTTTCGAATGGTTCATTTCTTTAGCTGCGCTTATTTATATAATGCTTTTTTTTACAATATTTTCATTATTAACAACGTTAGCTTTATATGAAGTTTAGGTTTTACATAATTTATTCGACGTATAGACCACTCTGAAACACTAGTATAGCTTGCTTTTACTTAAACTTTCCTCCACTTTGACTTAAACAGGTTTTCAACCATGCCATGTGTGATCAGGATCAAATGTGTGGCCTACTCTCTTCATGATAGCATAGTAGTAAGACGGCAAAGTAGGCCTCTCATACTTGATTTTATCTATATTACTTGTCCAATGCGAGTAGTATAGTTTCGATTTACATTTAAGGTTTGGCAATAGTGTATAAGTATTATGCAATTAAAGCTTCATCTCTCATCTCTTCATCTACTGTCTTTGTAGCCCTCTTCACTTTACCTCTTTAAAATTCAGTTTATCTTGCTCTACCGACTCGACCTGCTGCGATTCCTGTCGCCGAGGCAACCCCTCCTCCTGACCGGATTCGGCCAACTCCGCCAACCCTGCCGGTGCGGCCGGTTTGGGATACGTCTCGTTCAGCTCTTCAGATTGGCTCTCACCAACGCCTCGGTACCGCCAGTCAAGGTGGCTGCCTGACGCTGCGTTGTCAAGTGCCGATGGTGCCCACGGTCGATGCGAAGGGTCAGCGTCGGCCCGACCGTGTCGAGTGGCTGCACAACGGACGAGCCCTGTTCGACAGTCAAGGCCTGACGCCGAGTGTGACGTCCACGAGTCCGGATCGTGGTCTGGAGGAGGCTTGGCGTCGGATCATCGCGCCAGAGACAGGCACCGTGTGGCGGGGTCAGATCACGTCCAACCAATGCGTCATGGCGACCGACTGCGTTCAGATGCGTGACGCAGGCGAGTACACCTGCCGCATGCAGTTTGGAGACGACATTTACGAGTCCTCGGGTGAGTCAAGCTCGGAGGTCTGCCGAAAGAGAAATACTAAAAAATAAGTTATACTATTTAAAAGTATTGTTTTTCGTGACTAACAGTAAATCAGTAGTATGAGATGTATTCACCCAATTTCGTTTAAGGTGATTAAGTATTGGTAGAACGAGAATTTTCCCACAATCATATGATATAAGCTGACGTTTATATTGAATTTCACAGAGCCTTGCTTTCCCGAAATTTGTTCTATTCCTTAAGCGAAATTGGTTGAATAAATCTCATATTGAGAATTTAATTTATTTTTCGAATTAAGTATTGTTTTCATGACTAACAGTAAATCAGTAATATGAGATCTTTTCATTCAATTTCGTTTAAGGTGATGAAGTACTGGTAAAAGGAGAATTTTCCCACAATGATATGATTTGAGCTGACGTTTCCATCGAATTTCACAGAGCTTTGCTTTCCCAAAATTTGTTCTATTCCTTAAACGAAATTGGGTGAATACATCTCATATTAAGAATTTACTTTATTTTTC